CGTGCTCCCCAGCAAAGGCAAGCGAATTCGCGGGTGCAACCCGCCCCTCCTCAAGAAGCTTCCGGTGATTCTGCTGGCCAAAGCTCTCCATCCCCCCCTGGATTCTGGAGACAACCAACAACGCAAAACAACAACCCCGATCTGTTCTCAGCGGATGAACTGATGGAAATTTTCGTCAACATGTCCGGTGCTCTTCGTAAGTGCCGCAATAAGCCCGAACAGATCCAAGTGCTCGGTAAGTTCATCATCCAGTATGGCGTCTAAACCGCTAACTATCGTCACCTGGAACGCTTGCTCCGTAAGAGCAAAAAGGATTGAGCTTGCCGACTTCCTCCGCAAGCACAGCATCGACGTGGGCCTTCTAACCGAGACCCATCTAAAGTCCGGCGACAGCTTCTGGTTGCCTGACCACAATATTATCCGGCTTGATCGCACCAGCTCCAGGGGGGGTGGTGTTGCGGTCGTCGTCAAGAAAGGAATAAAATACCACACTCTGTCCCATATCCGCACCTCTATCATCGAGGCCCTTGGTGTGGAGGTGGAGTCGTCGACTGGATACGTCCAGTTCATCGCCGTCTACTGCCCTCGACAGTGTGCCGCCAGCAGTGGACTAGCGGCTAAATTTAAGAAGGACCTGTCCACCATCACCCGTACCGGTTCCCGCTTCGTAGTTGGAGGAGATCTGAATGCTCGCCATGAGGCCTGGCGGAACTACCAGCAGAACCAGAACGGTCGTCTCCTGTTCGACCACTCACAGCATGGGCTGTATTCCGTTTGGTTTTCGGAAGAACCAACATTCATCTCACCGGCGGGTAACCCATCGACGCTAGACCTGTTCCTGACAAATATCGGCTTGTCCAAGCCGGTAGCCTTGAACGAACTCAGCTCCGACCACCAACCGGTGGTGTCTGAGCTGGGCTGCAACGTGGCTCCTGCTTCAAGCCTGCGCAAGAACTATCATCACGTAAACTGGGCCCAGTTTGGACGCGTGGTAGACAGGCACATCATCGACAACCCGCCGCTTGACACCGTGGAGGACATCGACCGAGCGTTGGAGGGACTCCACCAAGCCATAACCGTGGCTGACGAGACGTGCGTCCGACGAGTTCCTGTGAGGGGTAAGTTTGTTGCTATTGATTCCCACACCCAACTCTTAATTCGCCTGAGAAATGTTCGTAGACGCCAGTTTCAGAGGACTGGAGATCAAGCGAGGAAACGTGAAATGGCCGATCTGAACAAGGAGATTGCTTCCAGAATGGTCTCACTCCGGAACGAAAGTTTCGGGCGGCTTGTCCAGAATCTGGACGACCGCTCCAGACCATTCTGGAAAGTTGCCAAGGTCTTAAAGACGCACCCTAAACCCATTCCGCCACTAAAAGATGAAAATGATGACGATCGGCTCATAATCACCCCTCAGGAGAAAGCAAATGCGATTGGTGAGCATATTGCCAAATCGCACATGCTTGGCTCCAACATCCAAAGTCCGCTTGAAGTTCAGGTTGAGCAATGCGTACTCAACCTTGATTCCTCCCCTTGTGCCATCCCTCCGGAGGATAGAATCACAGTGGAACAGATTTGCTCAGCGCTGAAATGCACCAAAAACATGAAGGCCCCCGGGTTTGACGGAATATTCAACCTAGTGTTGAAAAATCTCAGCATGAAGGTTCACTCTCTGCTGGCTGCTGTCTTCAACAGATGCTTGGAACTGCACTACTTTCCAAGTATCTGGAAGACAGCGAAAATCATACCTATCCGCAAACCCGGGAAGGACCCAACGCTAGCTTCAAGCTACAGACCAATCAGCCTCCTTTCAGCGCTGAGCAAATTGTTCGAGAAACTAATTCTCAATCGGTTGCTCAAGTTTGTCGAGGAAAATAACATTCTCCTTCCGGAACAGTTTGGGTTCAGAAAGGGGCACTCCACCAATCACCAGCTAGTGCGGGTGATGAATAACATCCGAAGTAACAAAGCTGTATCCAAGTCCACAGCCATGGCCTTGTTAGACGTTGAGAAAGCGTTTGATAATGTCTGGCACAATGGGCTTGTATACAAGCTTTGTAACTTCAACTTTCCGTTACATCTGGTTAAAATCACCCGTAGCTACCTCCAGCAAAGGTCGTTTAAGGTATCGTTGAATGGTTGTTTTTCAGACACGTTTTCCATCCCAGCAGGAGTCCCGCAAGGCAGTCTGCTGGGCCCCTTGCTTTACAGCATTTACACTTCCGACATTCCTCCCCTTGGAGACGGTTGCGTGTTTTTCCTGTTCGCAGATGATACCGCAATAGCCGTCAAAGGAAGGATGCCTCGCGAAATAACGAACAAACTTCAACGATGCCTTAACGCCTTTGCTGATTATGCCACCACGTGGAAAATCAAAATCAATGCTTCCAAAACACAAACAATCATGTTCCTCCATCGACAATCACCCAAACTAAAACCGGCTCCCTCTTGTACTGTAATCATGGATGGCACAAGGGTTGAGTGGTCCACCGAAGTAACCTATCTCGGGATGTTGTTTGACGAAAAGCTCCTATTCCGCTCGCATGTGGAGAAAACCGTAGTCAAGTGTTCCGCCTTGGTTAGGAGTCTGTATCCGCTGATTTGCCGCAGATCCCGCCTCTCAAGGGTGAACAAACTGGCCGTCTACAAACAAATCATAGCACCTGCGATCCTCTACGCAGCTCCGGTGTGGGAATCATGTGCAAAGACTCACAGGAACAAAATTCAGGTAGCTCAGAATAGAGTGCTGAGGATGGTTCTTGATCGTCCTTTCGACACTAGAATAACAAATTTACATGAAGAGGCAGGCATTGCCAAAATAGATTCCAAAATTAACGAAATTAAGACTAAATTTGCACAAAAATGTAATTTATCAGAACATGCTTTGATAAGCAATTTGTATATAGTAGGTTAGGTGTACATAGTAGTTGTAGGTTAGTTGTAGTTGTAAATAGTAGTTATAAGTAGTCTCCTTTTTCCAATTCAAATTAAACCAATCCCACCAAGGTGGTCATACTTTAAAATAGGCCTGATAGGACTAGGAACTGTAAATAATAATTAAAATCTCAAATGTACTAAAGTTGAAAAGACGCATCTGTGTCACTTGAAAATTCATACATGTAAACCACACAATCACAAGAAATAAAGATCATTTAAATGGCAAAAAAAAAAAAAAAATGGCAAACTGACAATCAGTTACCCTTTGACCGGCCACGAGTAAGCATCAGCAAGCAGCAGAAGAAAGCAAACCTTTGTAAACAAAAGCAGTAGAGAAATAAAGTAGTTACTAGCGTAGCCGTTCGCCGTTTGAATAATTACCCAGCACGCATCCCTGGTTCGGAGCAAGCGTTGAACCCCACCCCCAGCTCTTTTCAGAGCTCAAAGAGTTTGATTTAGATCAACGCTTGCCTCCTCCACCAATCATTGCCGATACAGTCCACTGCCGAAAGGGAAAGTGCCTTCCCAGACCGAACAGACCTTTTGATGAAAAAAGAGAATTTTAAGTGACTGGCTTGAAAATAGTGACTAAGTCACTAAAAAGTGACCTGCTACCAGCCCTGAACTCGTGGTTAAAAGTGACATTTCGAAAGTTATTCTCTATGATCGAAAACCCCTGTGCTGTCGATCGACCGGTTTTCGACCCACGGTTGTCAAAATTTAACTTCTTGTCTGTCAGAAATAACCATACTCGGATAGCAGGGTTAATCGATAACTTTTCATCTGTCAAATTTTAACCAAAAGTTAAAATAATCCACCAAATGGTTCAGAGCCTACGTACCTCGCCCATTTCCTGCCTGCTGGAACAGCTCTGGATTGTCGTGGAATTTCCACAGAACATTCCCAGTATTTTCGCTGTCTACCTGCCGACCTCGCTGCCGACTGCACGATCATCCCTAAGAGGGATCATCCGTGAGCATCATCGTTAGGTCTCGATTGAGTCCCCGCTCTCCCGCACTACTATTTTGCGACTACAACCAAGCTCGTTAGCGGCGCTGGTGGTGTAGTGGTAAGCGTGATTACCTCTCACCCCTGGGCAGGCCTGGGTTCAATCCCAGTCGGCGCCGCCGGAATGTTCTTAGGCATAACATCTCTGATCACGACTTCCTTCGGAAGGGAAGTAAAGCCGTTGGTCCCCGGTTCATGATTTTGATGGGTCGATAGGTAGGGTCCAGGTGTGGGAGCTGCCTCCCTGGCGTCGGTAGCATTGGTGCTCAGCACGGAAAACAAGATCGACGGAAAACAAATCAAGGGAAAAAAAACAAGCTCGTTTACAGTGGCGCTTTATCGACAGCTGCACACCATTCATTGACCATCTGCTATCGCATATGCCGGTAGCTTGCTGTACTTTTTTGGACGGATTCAACTTACACGGGTTTAGTCAAGTAAACACTTTTCCCAACCGAAACATACGTTTGCTAGATCTTGTCCTGGCAAATGATTTCGCATTACCGGCCACTGATCAGTCTAGATGCTGACCATCCCACTCTCGTCGTATCATTCAGGTTACCTACTCCGATTTCAAATAGACAAACCAAGCTGAACATTGCATTAGGTCCTAAGTAACATTGATCGATTCTCTTCGTCGTTTTCAAATTGCCGTCTGACGCGTCGGAAACACCCCATAAGCGTCGATGCAACAATTCAGTGCCAACATTTCAAAGGGGCGTAATTGCATTTGTAAACAATGACTTTCGTCTTCGATTTCTCGCAAATGAAAGCTCACTCATGAAAATGAATGACACCAGCTAGCATTAGTAATTTGGAGGGGTGGGCTTTTATTTGCGAGAAATCGACGGCTAAAGCCATTGTTTACAAAAGCAATTACGCTCCTTTGAAATGTTGACACTGAATTTATAAATACGTCGGTTTCATAGTCGGTCGATTTTACCTACGTGAACCGATTTAGTCGAAGGGAAAATCGGGAGGATTTTCTATGGGGATGTTCCAACCAACCAAATGGCTCAAAAGGACTTTGTCATCCAAAAACTTGCCAAACCTCGTTCTTCCTTTTGTCACATTTTATTTCACACTCCAACTTATTCGCAATTGCAATCAGTATTTTAGTATGTCATCATCCATTGCTTCTCCTAACTTATGACGATGACCGGCGACGGAACAGCTTAAATTAATCATTACCTTTATAAGACTATTTCCGCGAGTGCGCGCGACTTATTTCCACTAAAACTGAAAATACCCCTCAATCGGAACGAGAAAGTGCCAATGCTCTAGAAATGCTGCTGTTTGGTTGTGACCCTCTTGTGCTGCTCTGTATTCGAGGGAATGTCTTGTCAGTGTCGTAGGGTAGTGGTGCACCGCGTATCGGGATTCGGACAGACTCGAAGGATAAGAAGAAAAGAGCGAGGGGACTTCGACGAGATCACACGCTCACTTCTCCGAGCTTCGGCCGGCGATGGTCCTCAGTAGCCGGTTGCCGCAGAGGAAGGTAAACAGCGCCAGTGGAATGAGATAGCGAATGGTTTCGAACATGTTCAGCTGGAGCCAGAAGACTCCGAACAGGGCCAGGATGCCTCCCAATCCCAGGTGGAAACCGATCCCGCTGAGCGAGCAGGGGAAATTGCAAATATTGGCCCTAAGTTTGGCCCACAGCAGAACCAGCAGGGCGAGCGGAGCCAGACACAGACCAGTGAACAGATCCGAGACCATACGGGGTGGACGTTTCTCCGGGGCGCGGAATTGGTGAATGATTTCCGGCAGGGGCTGACGGACCGTGTTGGCGGTTTCTGGGAAAGACAAATCGTCATGTTTGATACTGAAACGGTTTATAATACTGAACTTACCTTTGGCGAGTTCTCCGGTGAATTTCAGACTCACATCAGCGAGCAACCACCGGAAGGAGTTGGAGATCAGGGCATCTCCGACGATCAGTTCAACCGAGTAAACTCCGCTCTTGTAGCCGAAATCGTTGCTTCTGGCTCCGACATCCATCTCAAACTTGTACGCCTTGCTGGAGTCCGCTTCGGCGACGAAGATAATCTCCTGATTGGTAGCCTTGTTGCGTAGCAGCACAAACGCTTGATGGACACTGACCGACTTTCCGCTGACGTCGTCAACGAGCACCGTCTTCAGCACAATCTTCTGCTGTGAATCAGCTGCCAATTCCGTGTCCAGCTTGCTGCCATAGGTAACCGTGTGCTTCTTAACGGCAGAGGTGCTATCCGAATCTCCTACGCCAATTTCCAATGAGCTAACCTTGACTTTGCCCAAGACGTTGATTTTCACCGTCTGCTTGTAACCTCCAGCATCGACATCAACCTTGTACTGGCCACGAGCTGGCTTCACCGTCTTTAGGCTGTACGTAAACACGCTGGGATCGCTATTACTTGGAACCATATTCACCTTGCTGACCAACGCTTCGCTTGTTGCCTTCGAAGTGACAGAAATGCTCACAATGGCCAAAGCCGGACTCAAAGGCTTACCCAACAGATCGCTTACTTTCACCATCAGCACGGGAGATTCTGGCAAGAGTTGCCCATTTCCGGACAGCTTGACGCAAATGGGAGCGATAGCCTTCTGAGTGGAAAGTGTATTCAAAGCTTCCAGCAGAATGCTCACTCCCTTTGGAGTTTGAACCGACGAACGGGACAGGAAGTAAGTTGCTAATTTGACCGCCTGATCAGCATTAATCGGAGCTGGCTTATTCAGACTCGCAGTCAATTTGAACGCGCCGTTCACAATCAAAGCCGTAATGCTCAATCCTCCCTCGAACTGCAGCATCTTTCCGTCGACTTCATCTGCCTGGACAAAGGCATCCTCAACACGATCGTAAGCAAAAGCCCCATTAGTTCCCAGCTCTGCCGCCACAGCAAATGCATGGCCTAGACTGTTCAAAGAATCGTCCTTCTTCAAAATAGCCTGCAAGTTCTTAGCCAATCGTGCCTTTGTGGCTTCATCCACAGAGACACCCAAATACTTTGCCGCATGCAGATTGAAGTAGACTTCCTGAGTGGAACCGGTATCCTTCTGCAGAGCGGCCTCTACAGTTTGCTTGACCTTTGTCGGAACCGTTTTACATCCGAAATTCTTCCACGACCCGGAGTAGTAGAAATTCTTCTCGAAATCATTAAACTTAGACTCGAGGTAAACCGCGTCCAACCGGCTGCAGGCATCCGGTGACTTGTCGGCCACATTCACCGACGAAAAGTACACCGCCTGCAGATCGGACGATTTGAGACCATCGGTGAAGATTTTCTGATAACGATCTTGATCCGCCGGAGTGATGTATTTGGATACGGTTCTCGTCGTCCAGACGGACGATACCAAACAACTGCCCAGCAGTATCGCGAAACCTAGCGGAAGAAAAAAAAATCGAATCAATTTTCCGCACACCACACCAAAAGAAAAAAATCCGACATGTTGATGACGGGAACGAGAATGAGAAAGGCGTTCGCCTACCGGCATCGATGCGGCTCATTTACAAATCTCCATTTTTTTTACCATTTCCCAAACTCAATTTTCCGAAAAATCACCTTCCAATCAAACACTTACCTAGGAGTTTCATTGTCGCACTGAAATTAATCCGAATTTACACTTAAATTAAGACGAAAAATCAATTTTTCTACGGAAAATAGTTTGCTCCTGGTGTGAACAAACTGCCGACAGACTAACCACGTCAGAAGCTAAACGTTGACGGAGACCGTCGCTGGATGATGATGATGATGACAAGCCGCGGTGGCCAGGACAGTGGCGGGCGGATCGTGGTCATGCCCCCATCAATGTTTACTTTTCATCAGTCGAGGTTCGTAGGGGTGGGGTCAATGTGGAATGCACGATTCGAGCAGTTAAGTTCATTCGATCAGTTCGAGATTGCATCATAAAAAATAGTAATGTGTACACACAGAGAGTATAGATTACCGGAGTCGGTAAAATTTTACTGGGTTTTCAAACAGCTGAGTTTTCAGTAATCAACACAGTACTTTTTGATTTAACTGAAAACTCCTTAAATCGCAGAATCTCTGAAATGTCAAAAATTACCGTTTTGGTCAGTAAAATAATTTCTGTCTTTTTCAGTAATTTATTTGTTAACATATTTTGCCAAGTTAATCAGTATTTTTATTTCAGTAGGTACACACTTAATCACGGTTTCCATGTTCGGTAATTTTTTTTACAGTTCTCGAACTGTAAATCACAAAAATTAACGATCGTTCAGCTATTCTCAATAAAACTACTAATGGTCAGTAGCTATTGCTTCATTCACCGTAAAGCTGTTATTTTACGGTAAATTCAGTGCTTGCTATTACCATAGAGGTAACTGTTGCTATAACTGTATTCAGCAGTTTGTAGCAATAGCTACTGACCATCAGTAGTTTTATTGAGAATAGCTGAACGATCGTTAATTTTTGTGATTTACAGTTCGAGAACTGTAAAAAAAATTACCGAACATGGAAACCGTGATTAAGTGTGTAGAGTCGGTGTATAATGAGTCACGCCAAGAGTGAAGCCAAGTCTGCCTATCGAACTGTCAAACCAGCTACCTATCGTGCAAATTATACAAAAATTACGATGCTATGAAAGATCCACAAAAGGTATTGCAATAAAATATAAAATATAATCGAAGAAATGATAATAAACACGCAGTGAGCATTCAATTGTCATGGAATACGTTTCACGGTAACCGCAAAATACCCAATAATGACTACATAGTAAGCATTTTTGAGGGACACTAGGACTACCCATTAAATGAGTAAAAAGATTACCCATTTATGAGTATTTAATATTCAAAAATGAATACTTACTACTTATTTTTGTAGTTGTAATTACTCATAAATGGGTAAAATTTTACTCATTTAATGGGTAGTCCCAGTTTCCTTCGAAAATGATTACTATGTAGTCATTATTGGGTATTTTGCGGTTACCGTGTTGGTAATGATCAGTAATGAGAATTTCTACTATTTTTGATAAGATAATTTGACAAAATCATTGATGTAATGATTTACTACAGCCGCTATTATTTTTGAAGTTGATGTAGAAGCATATAGGTAACTCTAAGACCAGAACACCCCGGGAGCAACTAAACAGCTCCAGTGTAATGCTAATGTACCCCGAAAATTCTAAAGCCCTACAGTAAAAGTATGGACGACTGTCACCACAAAACTGAAAAAAGCTGTTCCAATCGAGCAAAGCGGTGCATTTTGACGGTTCGATTGGAACAACTTTTGACAGACGTCCATACTTTTACTGTAGGGCTTTAGAAAATTCTGGTACTCTGGTTCTGTCAAATCGAATAATGGTGGAGTAAATTTACAATTGGTCTTATTTTTTTATCAACTTTTTTTTTTCCCGTTTTTAAGTTTTTGTTTTTTTTTTAACTTTTTATAAAAACATTGATATTTTTTCTAATAGTCTTCCAATTGACTCAGCATGACGGGATCGGAAAATGTCTATCTATTTATGTGTGTGAGAGAGCGCGTAAGACATTTTTCTTATATGTATTTCTCGGCAACCACTCTACCGAATTGAACGCAACAACAACCAAATGAAAGCTACCATGATTCTATAGCAAGCGATGATGATGAATTTTGATATAATTAAATCGATTGAATTCCAAGATACAATACAACACCAGTAATACGTCTCACTCAAAATTTATTCTTGGTTTCCTTTCGACGTCCACATGAAGTGAAACAAAAACATGTTTTCTGATGTGAAAAAAGTTGTGCCACCAACAATGGCTGACCCCATTGTTTACGTACGGTGGAGACATCTACAATTTGCAAGTGGGTACGTGAAACTAAGGTTTTCTGTCTAGATGCTCGGGGGGTGGACCAGAAGGTCCCGAAGAAACGAGCTCAACTTTTTGGCTCAGCTCTGGTACTATCTTCGGTCCCAAGCTAATCGATGCACCCCTCAAAACACAGGGAAATCCACGAACCCCTCATTTTATCTGTCAAACTTTCATAGCGAATCTAAAAACAAACATTGTGTAGTACTGGATTTTATACTAGAATGGGATACGTCAATCGATTTGCTTGGGACCAATAGGCTAGTCAAGTAGAGAGCCGATTTAAAATCGTTAGTTTCGTATTGATTGTTGGTAGAAGTCCTCTGTTTCCAAGTTAAAAGAAAAGGAATCTTTCAAAAACCGTGATGCGAGTTCAACTGTTTTTCTCTTGGCGTGACTCATTATACACTCTAGTAATGTGTTTGACCAGTTTTCTGAAATCAGTAGTTTATTTGCTATGGACGAGTGCCCCGATGGATTTGAGTTCACTCACTCGAGAAAAAGTGACACAAGCTGCGGGCAATGTTTACTAATCATGAACCTAGGGGCAAGACGGCTATACTCAGAGTTAATATTTTCACAGCGAGTAAATTTGAGTAACTCATATTTACTCAAAAGTGATCAATGCAGTCTCATATTCATCCATAAATTAAAAATTAAATCAGAATAAACATACATTATCTGTCAGAGTGTTGAAGTGATCCTATCCGTATTTCATTTTGTATTCTTGCATCAAATACTCATTAATCCATGTGTATTTCTTTTCAGTATGAATTTTTACTCTTATATGCATGGTGGGACTATGGACTATGGTGGGACAATAAAGTTGAAAATCGGAAAAAGATATCTCTGGTATGATCTCGAGAAACGAACCCGTTATTTGGCGTGATTTACGATGGGTTGCCAAGGATGTATTATTTCAATTGTTAATTTCTGCATCTTATATAAATAAGTTTTCATTCGTGGGCAATACAGTCCTGGAATCACACAGCCGTTGTCTTCGATGCCACGTGAAGTGAAACTTTTATGGGGCACTGAAACATTTTGAATCTTGTTGGTGGGTATGCAATCTGCCAAAATTTTCACAATGGAATGCCTACCATGCGCATCAAGACGTTAAATTATGGTACATGTTCACTTGAAAATCCAATAATTATCATCGTTAACCAATAATAAGCATTCACAGATTTGCATGCTACGACACAGGTTTTGTGGATGGATATCCGGTATATCATGTTGTTGAATGATGGCCGTAGATTTTCCTCGTCAAACGTCTTTGCTTGACAATCGTGGAATACACACAAAACGCACAAAACAAACAGGTTGCTATGTCACCGTGCATTGAATATTGAGCAACTCGAGCTACTCAGAGTTACTCAAAATTTACTCCAGTATGACTCATTATCAAAAGCTGTCTTACCCCTAGTCATGAACACTAAATGTTCATGAATAATGATGGTCGATCAGTGGCTGAGATATGAGCGAAAGAAACCCAATCTCAGACACATTCAGTGGTTTGGTGTGGATGCGTAATGCCGGTAATGCCATGTACCAAATACAAAGCGACGAAAGCTGGATCGGAAGGCTGCCAAGCTCAGGTTTGTCGGATGCCGTGAAGTATCGAAGGCATACCGCCTGATGGACGAGACGACAGGAAAGGTAACTGTGAGCCATTATGTGAATTTGCTTCCTTCTGGTGGACCCGTGCGGGTCCGGGTGAACCAAATGAATGAGCCAACGTCAACTGAATCTGATGACGACGCTGTCTGGGACGCTCATGATGAACAAGCGAAAAAGCAAGTGTCCGTGAAATTGAAGAACAGTCTGATGCCATACGTATAGTCGAGAGCATCGATAACGTCGATACGCCTCCACCGTGGAGAACAGAAAAAAAAACTATAATAGTGATGATGGTTTCAAAAATTTTCACGGTGAGGGATACGATTGCAATCTTAAGCTGCATTTATTTTGCGATCAAATTATTTTATTCAATTCTGGTAAATGGTAAATGCTACGCTAGTAGAAAACTTAAGGGCTACTCCTCGGGCTACTCAATAGACATATATGGGGCTGTTAATTAACTACGTAGACAGTTTTTTTTGGGATTCATGGCCCCCTCCCTCCCTTTGCGTAGACAATTGTCCATACTCAATTTTTAAAATGTGTATGGGCTGTGGATAACTGCCAATCCACCCCCCCCCCCCCAAACTGTCTTCTTAGTTTATGAACAGCCTCTAATATATAAAAATTAATTTATGGATGATATTTTCTCTTAAAATCGCCTAGGACACTCTACATTTATGGTGCATCAAAAGAGCAAATTTTGGAGCTATTCCAAAGCGGTATGCTTGTACAGCAGAATTTTTTCTTCAGGAGGAGCCAAAATCGTTGAAGCAAGCGTTATCAGCGCCTAGTGGTGCACAACGATGATGGAAGAGCTGGCATCAATAGGAGAAAACGAAGTTTGCGACTTAGGTGACCTACCGGCGAAGCCACACCATCGGTTGCAAGAGGTTGCCAATGGCATGATGTCTGTTACAGCCAAGAAGAAGATGATTGTCAAGCAATTCGATGTAATAACGGCAATTCTTAACGGCAATTCTTAACGGCAACCTTGAAAAGGAGATCTGCATGAAGCAGCCAAGCTGAGTCAGAGTATGTCGTCAGTGGTATGGAAACCAAGGTATGCCATTTAAAGAAAAGTTTGTACGGGCTCAAGCAAGCGGCTCGTTCTTAGAATCAGCGACTGCATGAGGTGTTAAAAGTGGATGATGTTGAGCGATATAAGGCAGATCCTTGCCTGCGAGCTGATTGCAAGTGGTGCTATGTTCTCGTGTATGTGGATGACCTCATCGTAGCAAGCGAGGATCAACGCATGATCGATGAATTGAAGCGAACGCTTGGGAGAAATTTTCAATTCAGCTGCCTCGGTGATGTGAAGTTTTACCTCGGAATCGACGTCGATCGAGACCATGCTGGAGATTTTCTTATACACCTGTGGAAATACATTGAAGACGTTATCTGTTCTGTTAGTCTACAGAATGCAAAAGTGTCCACCGTGCCAATTGATCCTGGGTACATCAAGACGGAAGATAACGATGACCAGCTCCCAAATAATCAAGAATAGTTGGACAGCTGTTGTACATCGCAGTCAAATACTGCGGTGTATGAGCATGTCGAAAGCAAACCTGCGCTCAGCTACCAGCTGATCATTGTTACATTATAAAACCAGCTGGTTAAACCATAGAGGTAACTCTAAGACCAGAAAGTCCCGAAGAAACGAGCTCAACTTTTTGGCTCAGCTCTGGTACTATCTTTGGTCCCAAGCTAATCGATGCACCCCTCGAAACATTGGAAAATCCACGAACTCCTCATTTTATCTGTCAAACTTTCATAGCGAATCAAAACAAACATAGTGTAGAACTGGAATTTATACTAGAATGGGATACGTTAATCGATTTGCTTGGGACCAATAGGTTAGTCAAGTAGTGAGCCAATTTTTAATCATTAGTTTCGAATTGATTGTTGGTTAAACCGTTTGCACGCGGAAACATCAAGTAGAAGCTGAAATGGTAAGAGTTTCAAGAGCCACTGAAGATTTTGGCAGGTTCCACATTTCGTCGAGAAGGTCTAAATATATGTGGAAAAAACCATACTACCAGTTACCTCTATGATACTACTGACAAATAAATACGTTTCTTTGAATTGTAGTTCAAATTGATCAGTACTTCGAATCCAGTCCGATTGTGCCCATTTCCGATGATAGCGATTTTAAGGCTGTGTTCCATTTGGTGAATTTTCACTTAAATTTGACACATCGAAAAAAAAATAATACACGCAGAAAAATTTACCGTCGAAACAAAAATATTTGAGGTAAATTTAAACGTAAACTCAGTTTGTTCTGGCCACAAACATAAACTAGGTTGATTTCAAACGTATTCTATGTTTGAATTCATTGATAATAATGTTTAAAACAAAAATAATGTTACGTTTATTTTAAAAATATTCGTGTTGAAAATAAACGTGAATATTTTTGATTTATTTGAAAACTATATGCGATCAAAAATTAATATGTTTATTTTAAACATGCTTTTCATGTTTAAAATAAACAAACATATTTTGAAATTATTTGGCATTTGAATGCTGAATAAATCAAAATAAAATTGATAGCAAATAAATAGAAATTTCTGCTATTATGGAAAGTCTGTGGATGTTTGGATCCGGGGGGCCGTCGGGGTGGGTGTCCGATCAGATCCAGTTCAGTAAAACCGGTAAAACTTTGTGATATTAGCGTCATTTTTCGTTTCTGACGCTGGTCCTCATACCGGCCTCTTTCTAAGTTTAGTGTTCGGGGATGATCTGCTTTTCTTTCGACGTCGGGTGGGGGGTGAGGATGATATGGGGATCAGCATCAGAAACGACGGATTGACGTTAATATTGTGATGTTCCACCGGTTTTGTCGAGCTTGGAGCACTTGCTTGCGTTGGTTTCCGGACCCTCTACTTTGGTTTCGCCGCTTGCAGGCCGTTTTCGGTTAAGTTTGCCGAATGTAAACAAGAAGGAAAAAAGGACACGCTAAAAATTGATTACCCAGATTATGTATTGTTGAAATAAACATGCTTTTGAATTTAATTTAAACATACATATTTTTGTTGAAAACATGTTTTTAATTTACTTTGAACTATTCATATTTTTATTTAATAAACATATATATTTTTAACTTAAATGAAGAAAATTTGGTTCCGTGATGTGCAAAAGATCTCAATAACAAAATTAATAAAAAAAAACTAACGGCAAGAAAGTGGATCAAGGGCATCAAGGCACATAAGTTCGGTTGTTTGAAATTGACCACTTTGTCAAGCACTTTGGCGTGACTTTCTACCAACGATTTCACAAAACTGGACCAACTAATTTCTATTTTTTTTATGAAACGCACAAATGTTGGCTACTTTTCTCGAGGTTCTAGAAGAAAAAATCTCAAAATAATGTTTCATTTCAAAGTTCGAGTGGTAGTAAACGTCATTTTATCTGCTCGAATGAAGTGGTTAATTGGATAATAATAAATCGTAAGTATTTTTTTAGATAAAATAATTTGCATAATTGAACCACCGACCCGTGATTGTTTATTTAACAAAGATATTGTTTATTTAGCCGATGATTTAGCTGTAACTGCTCACAAAGGGAATCCCGCAAATATTGATCCTTTTCCGGTAATTTGAAATCTATTCCATGTAACAAATAATCATTATTGATTGATTGCTTTTGAAATTTTAGGATGAAAAACAGCGGCGAATCAATCAGCCAGTCTATCGGAGACATTTCGTTGCTCTACAGTGGTGCAAAATGTTAGAGAAGGTCCTGGCAGGTTTAGCTGAGGGACGCCGAGAGAAGTGCGCTCAATTAGTACTACGAGGATCTCAAGTGGAAAATGTCTAAAAAACTGCCAATCCAATCCGACGAATATGCAGTTCGGAACCAGATAATCACCCATATTCCTGTTTTCGTTCGAACCGTATTTTCCATAAAAAAAAACTTTTTTTTGTATGGAAAATACGGTTCGAACGAAAACAAGAATACGGGTGAAAAACAAAATAATAAAAAATAGAGAAATAAATGAAATTTTAATTTTCAATTCTTATATTGATAATACATATTTTGAAGTTGATATTAATAAGAATTTAAAATGAAAAAGGATGTTATTATATTGAAAATACTTGCTTTTAAGTTAAAAATATTTTATTTTGAATTAAAAATAACAGTTGTTATTTTAAATATACTGTACTCTAATGTCAAAAGTTTGTTTTGAATTAAAAATAATCCGCTTTTAATTTCAACCATGCCGTGATTTTCATTTGACAGTAGAACAATTTGTTTTGAAAGTTTCTACTTTTAAAAGCCTTGAGCGGGCAACTTTTGAACTCACAATTGGCTAACTTTCAATTTAAAAGCTAACCGCTTTCTACCAAAAAGAACCAACGCAAACTTTCAATTCCACCGATGCTTTTTTTAATTTTACGAACTATTTTCCTTTGTGTGTATGTGTCGTACACATACTTAATATGTGTACACATAAAATCCATTTGTAACCGCACATACTATTCATTTGACTCATAAGTTTCATGTATGCTTCTGGATGGATTCTGTGTATGTGTCGTCACATGAAATTCATGTGGAATTTTACATGGAAATTCGTCAATAATAATGTGTGGAATTCTATTAGTGTATGTTTTTGAGGTTCTTTACAGAAGAAAAATTATCAAAATATTGATTCACGACAAAGCGAGTGGCCAAGTACAAGTGGTTTCCCTAAAAAAAACAAATACCATAAACGAACTGTATCCCGGATGGGTAAACTATCCCAACAATGGTTTGGATGCAACCCCGAACACGATCGTTAAGATCTCTTTTATGGTTATTTTTATTAGGGTTATTTTAAACTGCTCGAATGACCGAGCGATGATTTTTATCTCGAAATGTATGCTCTGCATACCCGAGATGTTTTTTTTAAGACAGGTGGGCAGGAACTCACGGTCTCCCAGTGTTGGTGAGTTCTTTGCCGTTAATTTTCACGAAAAGTTCACTATTTTGCCATACAGAAATTCAAAACAAAAATTTTTATCTGCGGATTTGGACAGTTTTTGACTTGTTTCATACGACCGGAAGGTGTATGCTGGTTACAAATGCCGTGCCAAACTGATTTCCTGCGCAATTAATCAATCTTTGATGTGAATTTCGCTAATAAACACGAGGAGCATTTCTTATAGCAAAACTTGCCATAACAAAATGGGCGGTTCATTTTAGTAAACAAACTAACACTTCTTCCGACTGTGGCACCTCTCTTACTCGCCTAGCTGCATACCGGCCTATTCAATAATTCCACCCCTGAAAAGACATTTCTCGCGTACCTGACAGAAGAAAGTGACAGCTACCTGAAAAAAAATCATAATCATCGTCATCATCATCGAGCTCAGATGGTCACGCACTTTTCTACATTCGTCTCGCTTGTTCGGATCAATCGCGCAGATTGCACTTTTATTTCACGGGACCGGTTTCTTAGGTTGGACTTGTCGGTCCAAAAAGACCCGAAAGAAAAATGACTGCACCACTCCTCCGCGTCGGTTCACTAGTGCCGGTATTGGTCGTGTGTTCCTGGCTTCTGGCGTCGAAGTTTGCCACCGCCAACGAAGTGTTCGGCTGCGGTGGTTTCATCAAAAATGCAAACTCCGACCTGGATTTTAACAAGGTGGAAGTTGGACTGTAAGTGGTTGTTAATTTAATTAATGAAAGTGTGGTGATTTGTAACTTTTGCATTTCCGGTTTTGGGGCGTAGGTACAATCCGCAGGGGAGTTTGAAGATCAAGACTGATTGTTCGCCCTCGAATGGGTATTATTTTATTCCGCTGTACGATAAGGGAGAGTACGTTTTGAAGGTTATTCCCCCTCCCGGGTGGAGCTTCGAGCCGGAACAGGTGGAGATCAAGTTCGATGGGACTACGGACATCTGTAGCCAGGGGAAGGATGTGAATTTCATCTTCAAAGGGTTCGGAATCACCGGGAAGGTGGAGATTTACGGACATGATGTAGGGGCCAAGGGAGTGCAGGTGGAACTACGGTCGGAGAGTAATACGAAAATAGGCCAAACCTTTACGGACAGTAATGGAATCTTTTCGTTTACGCCGATCAAATCGGGTAAATACGTGATCAAGGTGAAGCACGACAAATGGCATTTCGTCAAGGCAGAATATGGGGTGACGGTGACGACAGGAAATACGGAGATTCCGGCCAAGTCGTTGGTGGTGTCCGGATTTGATGTGGAAGGGCGCGTTCATAGCGATGGACAGCCTTTCGGAAATGTCGGATTCTTGCTGTATCCGGAGAAGGGAGTGGAGGCGATGGTGAAGTGCTCGTCGAATAATATTCCGGCCGTGTCGGGGACAGATCCGAAGTACAGCGGGGAGCCGCGCTGCTACACGGAAACAAATAAGGCGACGGGAATGTTCACTTTTGCTGGCGTGTCGTCTGGGAAGTACAGAGTAGTTCCGCACTTCAACAACAAGGCGATCAAGTTCCACATCAAACCGGAAGCGATGGAGTTCGAGTTGGGTCGCGATAGTCTGAGGTTGCCTGGAAGCTTCGAAGTGACTGGATTCAGCGTCGGTGGAAGGGTTCTGCAGGCTGTTGATGGACCTGGCGTACGGAATGCCAAGGTTAAACTGAATGGAAAGGAAGTGGCAACGACCGGAAGCGATGGAAAGTACACGCTGGACAATATTCAGGCTGGTACGTACACTATTCAGGTGACGGCGGATAATCTGCAGTTTAAGGATCATATTGTTAAGATCTCGCTGAGCAATCCAGCGCTGCCGGATATCGTCGTGCATGGATTTAAGGTAAATCTTCAGTTCGTACTTGATTTTTTTTTGATAGAATAATATATGTTCAACGGTAATGTCTAATTCCAGATTTGCGGTCAAGTGATCTCTAAGAAATCCTATCGAGTGGCCATCACGAAAAAGGCTTCGACCTTCCACGTCGAGGTGACGACAAAGGAAAATTTGGCTGGCGAATGGTGTACCTATCTGGAAAGTGGTCAGTACACGGTTCAGGTTGTCACCAGCGAAGAGGAACATGCTGCTGGAATTCAGTTCTTCCCTCTGACTCAATCGATTCACGTCGATCGATCCCCTCAGAGTGGCATCATCTTTTCTCAATTGAGAGCCACCGTTTCGGGAGAGATTCGATGCCTTCCGGATGCCGAAAGTGCCTGTTTGAACGACGTAACCGTTACACTGACTCCGTTGGATGTGAACGGAAATCCGACCGGACAACCATCGAATGCGGAACCCCAAGCTGGCAAGTATACGTTTGCGAATGTTCTTCCGGGAAGCTACGAAGTCAGCGTTCCCAAGGGCAAGCTTTGCTGGCGATCGAACACGCTAAAGATCAATGTGAAAACGGCTCAGGAAACGGTTCCGGCACTGGTTCAAAGCGGATACGTCGTTTCGATTGTGTCCAGCCACGCGGTCACTATGACCTACCATCAGAAGGGCGTTGAAGGTGCAAAGTCAGAAGAAATGTTGCTCACTTCCGGTATGAACACATTCTGCGTTCAGAAGGCGGGCAGCTACGAAATCGAGCTCACCGGATGCCACAAGTACGGTGTGGATGTTCCTAAAACTTTCACGACGTCCGATCCGGCTCCGGTCAGCCTGACCGCCCTGAGTCATCGCCACACGGTCAAGATCCTAGCCGAGGTAAAGTACACCTACAAGACGCAGGTCACTTCCAAATTGGGAACGGAAACGATCGAATTCAAATCGAGCGAACAACGGGCGGAAGGTTCCCATGTCTATCGGCATGACTTCTACCTAGAACAGGGCGAACGAATCACGCTGGATCCGGTCAGCGACATTATGCTGTTCACACCGACGACGTTGGAAGTTACCGGAGGATCGGATTGCATGGAAGTTCCCTCCAAGATCGTTGCCCGGAAGGGTTTGTTGATCGACGGTAAAACTACTCCGCCGATCAAGGATGCCAAAATTACTTTGCTCTTCCCGAATAATGTGGAACTTTCGTCACTGGTTTCCCTGACAAACGAGAAGGGTGAGTTCCGATTTGGACCGATCGATTCGAGCCTGTCGGTGGAGTTGTCCGCAGAGAAAGAATCATACGTGTTCTCGGCATTCGATAAGGCTACCAACAGTTTCAACGGCCACAAACTGTGCGAGATTATCGTTACCGTGAAGGATGACGCCGGAAATCGATTGCCTGGTGTGTTGCTTTCCTTGTCTGGAGCGGAGAGCTACCGCAAGAATCTGGTCACCGGAGAAGACGGTACCATCAAGTTCCATTCGCTTTCGCCTAGCGAATACTACCTTCGGGCGATGATGAAAGAGTACGACTTCAAACCGAACTCCAAGCTGATTCAGGTCAAGGACGGAGCCACGGTGAACGAGGAATTGCGCGGTACTCGGACTGCTTTTTCGATTTTCGGTTCAATCACCTCGCTCAATGGAGAACCATTCCCGAACGTTGCCATCGAAGCCGTCACGGACGATCGCTGCGGCAATCATCTGGAAGAAAGCAACAGCGAACCCAACGGTCATTACCGAATCCGTGGCCTCCAACCCGGCTGCCAGTACCGGGTTCGCGTTCGCACCGACGGACCTTCGTCTAACGTTGATCGTTCGATCCCCAAGGAAAAGGTCATCAAGGTCGAGAAGAAAGACGTCCGCGACGTCAACATGATCGCCATAAGTCCACTGGCATTCGTCGACGTTACCGTCCGGGTCTTGGCTTCCGAAAACGATTACTACAAATCCCTCAAAATCTTCCTCTACAAAAAGGGCAGTGATTCGCCGGTTCACTCGCAACGCATTGAATCCCCCTTGAACCCCAAGAGCAAGATCAACCCCGGCATTATGGTCTTCTTCCCCCGGATTCCCTTCGACAGCAAGACCTACTACATCGAACTGACCTCCACGCTGTCCGATAAGAACTACAAATACTCTCTCCCGATGGTGGAGTTCACGGCCAACAGCAGTAGCTTCTTCAGCGAGATGCACTTCCGACCGGAGCTGCGGACCGCCGAAAGTGATCTCAACCAAAACTCGCTGTCGGCCATCGTGCTCATCCTGTTGGTCGGGTTCATCTTCTTCAAGCAGGACCTGGCGCTGGAGCTGCTCGGTACGGTGTGGAATAAACTGGGCGGCGCCGTCGGCGACATTCTCAGCAAATCGAGACCAAAGGAACAAAAGTACGAACCGGTGGCGTTCGACGAGAAGGAAATTGACAAACTGGCTTCCAGTATCAATTCGATCAAGAAGAAGAAGGTGAAGAAGGCCAATTAGGGCGTGCGCTGGGATGGGCAGCTGCTTTGTAGTCAGTCAGAGTAGGAAGGTGAGTGGTAACTTTTTCGGTTTATGCAATAATAAAGAGTGTCGACGGTAGGATAGTTTGGATCCAGTAGATTAAGAGGTGGAGTGAGATTCGGTGCGAAATAAAACGAACCTCTGTTCAGTTTCTCAGAGAAGAGATTTCCCGTACTTGAGGGTGATTTTAATTCTAGAGAAGTCCTTGAAAAGTGGACTCATTGGGATCGTAGTTGGGGTTCTCCATCTTCGTCAGTTCGTCCGGGAACAGTTTGTACCAAAATACGTACACTCCGGCGAGGATCAGACCCAGCAGGGCCATCTTCATTTGCAGTAGTTGAAATGCTGATAGCGATGTCAGGATCGTGGTGGCTGCGAGTGAATATCGACCGATTTCCTCCTGAACCCTGACGAGTCTTGTATCGTTGTCCATCTTGCTCCTAGCGATTACGCAGCTAGCTGCAACAAGTAGGACGAAACCAATCCAACAGAACGCCATCACGTCATGCCGGGCATTGGTGGAGGAGCGCTAGTTGGCGCTGGGTCGGCCAATCCTTCACCCAATCCGGGAATTATTCGGTTCAGATATAGGTAGATTCCAACAACAGCCAAGCTCAGAGCTACGATGGCGGCTTTGATGGTGAGGACGGGTGCGAAGGCGGTGGTGATGTGGGTCCCTGGAAGGAAGAAACATACGATCAATTATCAGCGCATAAAATCGGTGGAAAATGTGCTTGCTATTGGTTGAATCCCAGAATCAGTTCGGATCATGATTCGAGGAATTCTAAATTTCTGAAGAGCATTTTCAGTTCAAAATGGCAAAAATAAAGCTACTTGTATGAAGGGTGGCCACTGAACCGGGTAAACCGAGAAATAACCGGGAATTTGATTGGATCCTTATATATTTCTTTTGTAAATTGTAGTCTTCTGTATATTTGTTGTTCAGTGCTTGAATTTACTTATTTTTTTTTCTTTTGAACTTATCGAAGGATATCTTTGCAAATGTCTTAAGGATTTCCTTAGCATCATTCTAAAATGTCTTTAGAATTAATTTTTGTTGTGAATGCGATAAATTAGCAATAATTGAAGAACGTTCTCGAATAACCCAAGACGATGCAAAGAAAATCACAAAGTTCAAAGTCAAATGTAAACAGCTGTTTTGTTTCATCATCCCTTCGCTTAGCTATGCTATGTAATAAGTGAACGCATAGGCGGTACGCTTTCGTTTGCTCCGTAGGATGTACCCAACGGGTGCACGCAGCATAAAAAAAGCAATAAACTCAGAATAAGGAAATTATACGTGTAGTGATTCCCACTAACTGGCAACACAGTAATGTATGTACGTCATAAACTTTGGATTGGAGAAATATAATAAAAAGTTACTTCCTCGTGTAGGCGTGTATTTTAATTCGACTCCTAACATTTTGGCGACGATCGGAGAAAACCGGGATTAAATTCGCTGAGGAAGGCTCTATACGTAATGGAGCAATGATTAAATTCGGTAAACGTGAGTTTACGATTCGGAATAGTGGTTTTACGTGAGAAATAAACAAAAAATAATATTTGGGGTATAACCTCAAATTGACGCCTTTGTGACAAGGACGGCAGACGAGCTGAAAGCAAGACGGAAAACGCATCCGACACTCGGGGTTTTTCGACGAAGGGAAAGATTGCTGTGAAGAGGAGCCAAAACAAACGTGAAAATAAACAGTGTCTCGCCATAGTTGCGTAAAAGAAGATGGAGAACAGCAAATCTACTTTGTTACCTTTTGACACCAATAACACCGCATCGATTGAAACACGCTGGATGAAATGAAAGAGATCTCTGGAGTTGTTCCTAGAGGTGAATAGTGTTGCTCTCCCATCCAGGAAGAAGTCGTATCTGCTGCATTTCAGTGGAACACAGATACAGGACATTTTTTTCGATACACCTGGACACGATGCACCCCCGCCAGCGGACTCGGACGTTTACAAGGAGGTGATAAGATTACTGGATGCTCATTTTGCACCATTCTCCAATGTTCCTTACGATCGGTACGTGTTCCAGAAAATGAAGCAAACTGAAGATGAATCGGTGGAGAAATTCGTCGCCCGTCTTCGAGAGCAAGGGCGCCTGTGCGAGTACGGGAATGCACTCGATATGCGAGCTGCAGAACAAGTGTTTGACAACAGCCGATCGGACGAGCTGCGTGAAGTGATTATTAAGGCTGTGAACCCGAGTCCGCATCGTGCTCTCTTGCCGTGCGGATCTATTTGCTTTTTGCTGAAGGAAGTGTTACTACTACCTAAAGCTACAACAAATTTAAACAGCACTTTTCAGTGCTCAACCTGTAAAATTTTTCTACCTTGTTCAACTCTTATTCCTCTTCGATCCTTGTTTGGACCCTACCCGAGGTAATCCTTCTTGGATATCGATTTGGAAAATTCCTCTTCGATCCTTCAGATTCTTATAGTAATCTGCTTGGAAGTCGATTTGGATAAAAATTTACTGCCGCCATGGCGCCTAAACGCAAAAGAAAGGGGCAAACTCTTGACCCCCCTTCTGATGAAATTAATTTGAGTAATCAATTTGATTTGCTCACGGATGATGAGAATGATCCATCATCCAAGAAAAATTCTAGTAAACTTTCCCGGCTTAATGCCAAGAAGGAAAAGATTCCCCCTATTGTGATAACCACTACCGATTTCCATGCTCTTCGCATGGAACTTTTGAATTTCGTGAAAGTTAAGTTTTCACTACAAATTGGACGTCGGGGTGAATGCCGTGTATTGGCTGAAACCTTGGACGGATTTAAATGTCTTCTCAAGTATCTTACTGAGAAGAAGCACAAATTTTTTACTTACGACACCAAAACTGAACGTGTGTTCAAGGTTGTCATGAAAGGACTGCCCAGTGGTGAATCCCTGGATCAGATCAAAGATGAACTGGCAAAATTACTTGGAGTTGTGCCACTCCAAGTAATCAAAATGAAAATGAAATCCCGTCCTGGCGATTCGCGCAACGGGATTTCTAATGATTTTTATTTAGTTCACTTCAAGTCTAGTGAACTAAACAACCTTAAGGCCTTAGAAAAAGCTAGCCTTATGCTCCATGTCCGAGTGAAGTGGGAACACTTCAGGAAGACTGGAGGAAATTTCCAAAACCTCACCCAGTGCCGTAAGTGCCAGGGATGGGGTCACGGAACTAAAAATTGCTACATGCCAGCTAAATGCATGAATTGTGGTGATTCCTCTCACGCAAAGGACGACTGTCCTGTGAAGGAAGATCCTAAGAAATTTAAATGTTCAAATTGTGGTGAAAACCACAAATCCAATTTTTGGGAATGTAAGACTCGCAAAGCGATCCTACAATCTCGTTCTAACCGTCAGGTAGGAAACGCTCCACGTTTCCGACCAGGTACAAATTCCTCTGCTGTTAACAACGGTCAGCGAGGAACAAATTCTACATTCGTACCCGTAGGTACAAATATCTCCCCTGCTTCAAATGTTTCATCTGTACCTACTCCCCTCGCTGCTAACAATGTTCAGCGAGTTAATGGAGCTACCTATGCTGCTATTGCAGCGGGTAGAAATCAAAATACTAACCAACGTTCTAATGGAAATTTTGACAATTTTGACTTAGGAAGCATTACTGCCCCCAAAATGGAATTTTTACAGAATTCATTAATTGACATGATTTCTGATATGCTTAAATCTAACTCCATGTTTGATGCTATTCAAACTGGAGTAAAATTTGCAAATAATATTGTCATGACTTTAAAATTCAGTAATGGATTTTAAAGCATTAAATATTGTAAATTGGAATGCTCGATCTCTTAAAGATAATGAAGACGAGCTATTTAACTTTTTAAGAGTTCATAACGTGCATATTGCCGTTATAACTGAAACGTTCCTTAAACCTGCCCATAAGGTTAAGAAGGACGCAAATTACTTGATTTATAGAAATGATCGTCTTGATGGACCCTGTGGTGGCGTTGCCATCATTATTCATAGACGAATCAAACATAAAATTCTTTCTTCATTTGAAACCAAAGTTTTTGAAACTTTGGGGGTTTCTGTTGAAACAAAATTTGGACAACTTACGTTTATAGCTGCCTATTTGCCATTCCAATGCGTAGGCCAGCAAAAGAATTTTCTCAAGGGTGACCTCCAGAAACTTACCCGTCATAGGTCTAAATTCTTCATTATTGGTGATTTTAATGCAAAACACCGCTCATGGAATAATGCTCAAAGCAATTCCAATGGTAATATTCTGTTTGATGATTGTTCTGCAGGTTATTACACTATTCAATATCCATACAGCCCAACATGCTTTTCTTCTGCAAGAAATCCCTCCACTATTGATTTAGTCTTAACTGATTCATGTCAACTTTGTAGCCAATTGGTTACCCATGCTGACTTCGGTTCTGATCACCTTCCAGTAACTTTTGAAATATCCCAAGAAATAATTTCTAATCCCAACAGCTCTACTTTCAATTACCATAGAGCTAATTGGGAGCGGTATCGAACATTTATGGAATATAACTTCGATCCAAACATTCCTTTGCAAACCAAAGATGAAATTAATTATGCTCTTGAATCTCTGACTACTTCTATAGTTGAAGCAAGGGCTGCCTCAGTACCAAAATGCGAGGTTAAATTCGATTCAATTATAATAGACGATGATCTTCAGCTCTTGATCCGTCTTAAAAATGTCCGTAGGAGACAATATCAAAGAACACGCGATCCTGCCATGAAAGTTATCTGGCGGGATTTGCAAAAACAAATTAAAAAGCGATTCTCTGCCCTGAGGAACAAAACTTTTGAAAATAATATTTCTAAATTAGACCCGAGTTCCAAACCCTTTTGGAAACTCACAAAAATTTTGAAAAAACCTCAAAAGCCTATTCCTGCGCTTAAAGAAGGTGGTAAAATTTTGATCACAAATTTGGAAAAAGCTCAGAAACTTGCTAAGCAATTCGAGAGTTCCCATAATTTCAGTTTGGGTCTTACTAGTCCTATTGAGAATCAGGTTGCTCGGGATTTTCTGAATATTTTCTCTCGGGAAAATATTTTTGATGATTCCTGGGGGACTGATTTGGACGAAGTAAGGTCTATAACTAAAAATTTTCAAAATATGAAAGCTCCAGGTGATGATGGAATTTTCTATATCCTCATCAAAAAACTCCCAGAGA